ATTTAATAATGTTTTTTATTTTAATTTTCAATTTTGTGAAACATAGTTACTTTTTTATTTTGTTTATTAGTTTAACATATGTGTTGTATTGGAAAAAACAGTTAAATTCATATTGGAAACTTTTAAAGAAATATTATTTTTATTTTTACCTTTTTATATGTTTATAAAAAATGATAATTCATGTTTCGGTCCGACCTATCTCATTTATGTTAGAAACTTTTTTGAGACATAAATTAGATAGATTTATATTCTCAAAATTTCTTACTTTTTATTCTATTCCCGTTAAATCTCATTATATTTAGATTTACATTGTGTAAATATAATCATATATATATTTTAAACATTCATTAAAAACTATAATCTATTATTTATATATTTGTTAGTATAATCGATAATTAGTAATTTTTTTTTTAACTTTTAATCAATTATCTTTTTTAGTGTTATAATCTATAATATAAAAAAGACCTTTCATATTCATTTTTGAAAAACTTATTTACATAGATTTAAATATTAAAATTAAATGATAACATTGTATAATTAATTTTAAAAATTTAATAATAAAATGAGGTGGATGATGATGTGCCTTAAGGAGAAGAGAGAAAAGGTTAACTTTATATATATACTAGCAGTTGACCCTCGCTCCGCGCGGGAGGTTTATAATTTTGTTTTTTTGATTTTTTATTCATATTGTGATATTTTATTATTTTTAATTGATTTTCAAAAAATATTATAATTATTTTCTCTTTAATTATTATCTTTCAATACTCAAATTTGGATTAAAAGCATTTGATTCAATTTATGAAATATCTTTTTTTTTCTTTTTGATCATATTATAAACTAATATTTCACTTTCATTTTTTTTCCTCTTTATAATTTTATATATACAATTACATAAATGTTGTTTTAGTCTACCATAAATTTAAATTTTACTTCCATTCTAAAACTCAAGAACATATTTAAAATATTAAATTATGATCAATTTAAAATGAAAGTTGAATTATATTATTACCACTAATAAAAAAATTAAAGTATTGTTTTTCTTATTTTAACATTTCATTTTTTTTACATAATTTTTTTTTATTTATATAAACTTTATATTAATTAAATAAGTAACATAAATATGCATTAAATGAATGTTTTAATTTATTTTAATGTTTAAACAAAAATGTGGCTTAGGTGGATGATTAGGTGGCATCATAAGAAGAGAGAAAAAGCTAACTTTATATATATATGTATATAATTAACTCCTTTTATTTTCTTTGCCATTTGTTTATAACTTATGGTGTAATTAAATTTTGTATTGAATGATTGTCATAAATATTTACTTTTGTATATATATTTAAAAAAAAATAAAGGATTTAAATGTTTTTCCACCAATAAAAAGAGAGTGAAACCTTACTTTTATATATATAATTAATAATAATTATTCACAAATGCTGATAATTAGTACCTATTATTAGAGATACTAAATATCCAAAAACAATATCTATGAGATGATTGGCTGATTCATAGTTTTTAAAAGCTAAAATTGCCACTCGGCAGACAACGTAACAACAAAAAAAATCTATGGAAAATTATTAGGAAAATAAAATAAAATAACACATAAGATTAATCTACATGCCGACATCAACTAACCGTCAGATTATACATAAATAATTTGAGACCGTCAGATCTGAGTCGGTATAAATCGTGGCATAAATGGAAATGGCACATCACGCGTATTTCATCCTTTCTCTTATAAAATTGGAATCCCCCAAATCCCAAAATGCAAACATTTGGTCGTGGAACAAGAGTCTACCTCAACCTGAACCTCATCGTCACCGTCTTCGTCTCTTTCTCATCGCTACTCGCTTCGATCGTCATGGCTGAATCTACTGGAGAAGCAACGGCATCGTCTGAAGCCAAGGTTCACATCATCTACACCGAGAAACCCACCGATGAGGAACCTAAAACTTATCATCTCCGTACCCTTTCCTCTGCTCTCGGCAGGTTTGTTCTCTTAGACCATTCACTCTTAGTTTTTACCGGAAAGATATGAATTTTGTATTGGATGAGATCATTAGATGATTTTTGGGTTTGATCGCTTTGATTTTTAGGGTTTTGTTTCTCTGAAATGGGGGATTTTTCAGTTTAGTAGCTTGAATCGTTTTTTAGATGATTGATTGCTTCAACAACAATTTTGTTTTGTATATTTGTGTAAGAAATGTTTTTGCTCTTATGGTGATGGTTACAGTGAGGATCTTGCAAAAGATGCTCTGATCTACAGTTACAAGGAAGCTGCTTCTGGTTTTTCAGCTAAGCTCACTCCTGAGCAAGTCGCTGAGATATCCAGTACGTTTCTTTTCCTTCTTCTCATTAGATTTCTCGTTTTTGATCCTGCACTTACTTGTAACCTGAGGAGTATTTGAACCCGGTGACTGCACAAGAATCTAGTAGCGTCATTGTTTGCTTTGAATTGTGAAAATTCAATGTTTGGATTAAGTGTTTATCTTGTTCTTGAACTTGTGATCATTGACTCTGATACAATGTGTAGATGACTTGTGTAGATCCAATTTGTGACGACTGTTTCTGTAAAATTCTTTGTTTGCCTATGTTTTCAAAATGTCCCCTGATACCATCCTGCTTAAATTGTGATATCTCAATGTTTAGATTGGCGGATGAGAATTCAAACCTGTAGAAATAGAGTCATATAGTCATGAATGAGCGATCTCTGAGTAGGCTTAGGAAAAAAAAAATATGGCCTAAATTTGATTACTGTTTTACTATTTTTTTTCTTGTTCCGTTTTTCTCATAATAATTTTGGGGATTTTCATGTTGCAGAACAACCAGGTGTGATTCAAGTTGTGCCAAGCGAGACTTATCAGTTGCACAAACCTGTTGGTGGTGGTTTCAAGTTGACCTAACTTGACTTTGTCTATTCAACTTCTGAACTAGACATGTTGCTTTACAGAGACTAGTCTGTTGTTGTAATGTGGTGACTTGAACTAGTATCTAACTAAAATAATGTCATGATGTTGCTCTATTCGAGTTGTTTGTGTTGATAAGAATTGAGTTTCTTCAATAAATTGTTTTCCGAGAAATGTTTCTTCTAGTTCCAATCTCATATTCATAATCCGGTACCAAAATAATTAACGATCTCTCTTCTTATCAAATCGAGTTACAAAAAAATGTATAACTTCTGCTGTTTCTTCTCTTCTCAACTTCTACTCAAATAGAAACAAAATATGACCAAAAAACACTATTTTAAATGAATCGTTACGATAAGTGCCAAGTAAACGAATCAACATTTTTGTTCTGTTGTATCCTCTAAACAAAGTTAAGTGTATTCTTATCCTCTGTATGGCATTGACGGTTAAGCCTGTGTACATTAAGGATGCCTCTCCTTGGCTATTCATATATCTTCTTCCTTTTCAATATTGTGGGAAGTATAGAGATGAACCCGATGAGGAAAAGCACTGATAATGTCTTGAAATCATACAGATCTTTCACCGATTTGAGATCTCCAATAGCAAGGCCAGCCTGCAAAAATACATAATAACCAATATGAAGCTCTGTTCACACACGATAAGTAGATGGCGAAAAGAGATGGAAGCAGAACAATGTTAAAGAACCAATATTGACCCCTGTTCACACACGATAAGTAGATGGCAAAAAGAGATGAAACAGAACAATCTTAAAGAACCAATATTAACCTCTGTTCACACACGATAAGTAGATGCCGTATAGAAAAGATGGTGAAGGAGGGAGCAAAAGAGCTTACTCTGACGGTAATATAAGCTGCAGGGATGAGACCAATCAATGTCGCCAAAAAGAAGACATGGAAAGGTACATCGACAATGGGAGAAGCAAGATTGATAAAAAGATTTGGCAGAGTTGGTGTTATCCTCAGAAACAACATATAGTTCAGAAGCTTATCTCTACGCTTACTAATCTGAAAACATAAAACCACAACTAAGTAAAGAACTTTCATAGAGGTCATTTCATTAGCCACAACAAGAGGAGACCAAAGAGGACAAGAGAGAGCTCTGTTTACCTCAGCCTGAAAGAATCTTAATTTGTCAGGCCAAAGCCAAGTAATCAATGGCCGACCGATCAATTTCGACAGAAAGAAACACGACGTAGCTCCCGCTGTTGCATTGAAAACAACTAAGAAAACACCTTTGAATACACCAAAGAGAGCTCCAGCTAAGAGTGACATGAAGATAGTCCCTGGAATCATGAAGGTCTGCATAAAAATGTATGTGGCACAATACCCTAAAACGAACTGCGTCGGGTACTCATTCGCATAGTTTGCCAAATTATCCCTGAAACAACAACAACAACAACAACAAGATTACAGATATTTGTAGCTCAAAATCGGATAAAACTCAATCATCCAACAAATTTAGCAAATCGTAATCAGTAAATTCTCCAAATTTCGCTGCACAAGAATGAATCGAATAGATAAAAGAAGAAATTAGATATGTACTTGAGCAAACGGAGATCAGCGATGCTTCTGGGGAGCTTGAGTTTGCCGAATTCAGCAGCAGGCATGGTCATGTAGATACAACAGAGTCCAGAGGAGAAGACGAGGAAGACGCCGAGAGAAACAGCGAGCTCCCAACGGCTAAGAGGGAAACGATCGAGTTTAGATCGTTTACCAGATGGCGAATCATCATCGTCAGATACGGCACCAAGCTCTTCGTCTCTGGTTAGAATCCGCGTTGGAGCCATCACCAAAACCAACCCAACCCGCGTGCTTCGATTGTGGCGAGATCGGATCCTCGATTCACATGAGAGAAACAAACAACGATGACGATCTCACAACTTTATTAGATCTGAGAGATTTTTTGCTTCTTTCGTTAGAGATTCAATTGCATTTTTTTTATTTATTTCAGTGTTGTTGTTGTTGCTAAAAGAAATCGAATTCACGTTATTGTTTTTACTTGAGAGTTGAGATTAAACGTACGAAGAAGACAAGTAATGGAAAACGTGTTGGCCTTTTTAGCTTTTTTGCTCTTCACTATCGGAGTCGGATAGATTTTGACGGTGGCTTTTAAGACCTTCTATACGGACTAGAGGGTTCTGACTTTTAACTATAAGAGCAAACCCTCTATTTCACTGAGAGGGTTCGATAAGCCGTTGCTCGTCCGGTTTATGCATGACTAGACTACTAGATTTTACCTCTTAATCTTCTTAATTCACATGTAAACAACATTCGTAACAGTAATTATACAGTAATTATATTCGTGGTGAGCATATGGCTTAAGTTCAAATCGTGCATTGTGGTATATAGTTTGTTCTATATTTGTGTTGGCATTTTTTGCCCTAAAACCATCCTTAATGCAAGGATTTTAGAGGGTAAGACCATCTTTAATCTCCAACCTCATGTACTCTTTCTGATATTCCAAACAAGTGTGAAGTGTAGGATCCTAGAGTAAAATAGAACGCAAGGCCACCACCACAGATCTGATGTGCATTGTAGTATAATAATAATAAAAAAATTAACATATATATTTTTTAAGAAATGGTGGTAGAATGGATGAGTTACAAATTTGGAAAACAAATAAAAATAATTAGGAGAACCCCAATGGATAATTAGAAAGAAAAAAAAAGTTCCACCTTTTGTGAAATTGACCAAGAAAACTCTACGTAATAAACACAAACTTCTTTTACAAATAGACAGTTACATAAATGTTATTTTCCAGATGGAAACAATTAAATCATAGAATACAAATCAATATAGAAGTTTTTGGTCTTTTTTAATTACGAGTCAGGGAAGCATCCAAGAGAATGATGAATATTAGCTTCCACTTCATTATAGTTTTGATGCATGGAAGGGAAGCTTTGGCCTGGATTATACGATTGCGTTTCGAACGAAGACATGAGGACATTATGGTTTTGTGAATGTGTTACTTGTGTCTCAAGCAAGCTATCTAGTGTTCTCCAATCCACACAGTTGAAGCTCTTCTCTTCTTCTTGCTCGAAACTCTCGTTTTGATCTTTGTTTGTCCCTAGACTCGGCGACAAACTCGGGCTGTCCAGCTGCGGGAGCTCGATGTTTCCATATTGATGCATGGATGAAGATGCATTATTATTAGGATTGTAGTGGTTGTTGCCCATGAGCATTTGATTAAAGTTATGGCTCGATGAAGATGCACCGATATGATGACTCGTGTTCATTGTCGCTGAAGATGAGTAGTTGTTACTATTCTCGACGTGGTAGAGCTGGTTCTGCCATGGCTCGTACCCTAATGGCCTCTGATTTGGAATCGGCTTCCTAAATGCTCGACACACCACCCAGCCTTCCTCCTATAGTTCACAAACATATAAAGTTACTATTTAGATAACCATTTAATGATTTAGCTGGTTAGGCTTAGTTGTTTAACATTATTGTATCAATTGTCAAACATTTAACATGTTCATTTTCGTCAGGGTTAGATATATATTAGGTACATATATAATTACATTGTCCTATTATATTAGTAACACGTGTGTACCTGAACCGGGGCAAGCTCGGAGTTTTGGAGGCGGTACTCATGCATGATCCAATCGGATTTTCTTCCATTAGGAGCTCGACCCTTATAGTAGACAAGTGTCTTCCGCATGCCTATGACACTGTTCTTCGAAAGCACGGCCTTGTCTCTACCGGTGGCTTTCCAGAACCCAGCAGCGGTGGCTCTATTGGTCCTAGTCCCGGTTGGATACTTCCTATCCTTGTGGCTAAAGAAGTACCACTCGTTTTGCTCCTCATACCCTAGTTTGCATCTCGCTGCAATGTAAACACCAAATATTAATTTCATAATTTTATTACATCACAAAAATATTGGGAAATTAAGTTAAAAAGTGAAAAATGTATATCTTGAAAACATATGTGGTTAAATGATTTGGAATAATATGATATGATTATACACTCCCATTTTCAAAAAATAAAATAAAACCAACTTCTTAATTTCAAAAGAGGTATTATGATTTATGATTGTACTAAATCTCTTAATTTTCTTTGCAATATTCGTTTCACACTCCGTTTATAAATCCTACAAGTCAAAAATAGTAGGCTCTCTGTCATTCATAATTCGCATGCCAGATTCATAGCATGTTATTGGTTTTCGAATATCATAGATCATAAGTAGACATTTACTGCCATCCCATGCAAAAGATTAATTAAAGAGAATCATTATACAAAATGCACGTTGATTAAGATTACCTTGTATATCCCACGGCTCCATCTTGTAGAGATCAATCTCTACAATGACATCTAAAGCACTCTTCATGGAATTGATCTTCCTATCTAGGTAATAACCCACAAGCTCTTCTTCTGTCGGATGAAATCTGAACCCCGGTGGCATACTCGATTGCATTATATTATCCATCCAAGATGATCCTGTAAATGGATTTTAATTCGGGAAGTTGTTAGAGAAATGAGTAAGAAACGAAACGAGAGGAAAATGGAAGAGAAGAGAATAATATGAAGGAAAATGATTTGTATATATAAAAACATAAGCAAGTCTTTTTGGAAGCTATTGCGAAAACCTTAGACAAACAAGGCACAACCTTAAAGTTTTGTCTTTGGGACCAAAACCAAAGCCTATTACAAGCTTCGTTATATTTAAATTGTAAGAAAGGGATCGGATGGCTCTTGGGTCCAATGAAATTCCAAAAGCTGTGATGTTGGGTAATGATAGTGATGTAACACACGGACACACACGATAATATATTTATATACCTATAAACATAAACACACACACACATATATATATATATATATGAATTCACATGTATAGTTTAGATATTTATATATCTAAAAGCTTGGATCTTTAAGCTTAAGGCTATCGCTATTATATGTAGCTGATGATGGTTATGATGTATTTCCACGGGACCACCAAACAATGGAGGAGCTCTTACTACTTCACAAGCCAAAGCTTGGTAGTGGGTTAAACAATACAAAAAAGCTTGATGGTGAAAGTTTTTAGAATTTTTGTTTTTAAAATACAGAAAACATTAGGTTTAAAATGTTTGTCTTTCGCCTTCTAAATATAGAAAAGATTAAATTTTTTTTTTATATAATATACATTTATGTAAGCACTGTATATATTTTTTATAAGTATACTTTAACCAAAATATATATATTTATAAGTTTATATGTAAGATAATTGTATATAAAGGATCTACATATATAGCCGAAAAGCTTGACGGGTGGAAGTCACTGAGGTTGATGTTCCTTTGAGTGTATTACACACTCTTGTCTTGAGTTATATTCCTATACTATCTTATATAATATACAAACTATAATGGTGCAACAACAATAATTAATCTCGAAGAAACAATAATATCTTTAGAAACACATAGATTTCGAAATCCCCACCATGATTTCAGTTCCTCGGTTTACTCTAATGTTTGTGGGTCAATATCCACAGGACCACACACACAAAACATATATACACTATTCAAGATATTAAACTTCTCATACAGCCTATCCATACACAAACGATGATCACATACCATATGACAGATAAAAAAATGCAAAACAGAAACACCGAATGCATCATAATGGTTCATGCATGTAGTATATGTAAAAGAAACTTACGAGCTAATACAGATATTGGACGAGGTTTTCCAGAAACAAAACGTTACTTGCAAGAGATATTAATCACACAAGGATCACGATCTAAAGAAAAGAGAAGCAAAAGGAAGAAGGGAGCTAGAAAGATTGTAAACTCCGGTGTGGATTAAATGATTGTTAATATATAGCAAAGACAAGAAGGGCTTGGCTTTTGATTAGATCACATGCATATGGACCAGCTAGAAAACTTATATAGACTGCATATATATGTTTTATGTGAGTATGTTAATTTATATATATATGGTAAGTGTGTGACATGTGGGTGCAAAATGATGATATAAGAAGAGAAGGAGGAGAAGAGGAAGAAGAAGAAGAAGAATGAGAAGGAGATGAAGGGAAGGGTTTGATTGCGCGTGGGGATAGACATCTACGGCTTTGTTTTTGGTCGGCGTCTCTCTCTCTCTTGGCAATTTTTTGTTTAAAGTTTTTCCAATCTTCTCCACTTTACCGGCAGTTACTGCACAGCTCCAACCTTTTTTTTATTTCTTTTTTATTTGTCTATATTGCTTATTAGTTTATTACATCACACTATATAAAATCAGTTCATCTATATTATATAAAAAGCTTTATCTGTTGGGTGCACAAAAAAAAAAAAAAAAAAAAAAAGCTTTATCTGTTGTTCATATGTGGCATTAGGTCAAATATTAAATGTTCCCAATATTTCCATAAACAAATTGGATGATATTAAACAAATTACGTTTTGAGCTTGATGAGAGTTACTTACTCACCATAATTTATCGGTTAACATTATGCTAAGCCGCCTCAAATTATTTAAAAGCCATGTGTATGTTTTTAATTAAAATTGTATTTAGTATTATTATTTTTTCAAGAAAACATTAGGGCTAGTGTTGATATATAATATGCATATTTAAAAGGCATTAATTCCTTTTTTATTTATTTTTTTTAAAAAAAAACTCGAGGTCTTATATGAATGCACTAATTGCACTTGCACATGCTAAATACCTCATGTCATTATATATATAGTTTTTCTATAGTTGATGTTTTTAGAAAATAAAGAATTATAACTTTTTATGTAATGTTCCCGTAACATAATTTCGAGTAATTTTAAAAACACATGAAAATTTCTTAACAATGTAAGATATTTTCAGTAATATAAGATCAGTTAAACGTATAAATAGGTAATGGACTACTTGTTGGAAATTCATCACAACTCAAGAGAATTAAAAAGAATTGGATTTCTAAACCCAGGGATGAACCTATTGTACATTTTCGACGTTGAAAGTTATATATATATGGGTGTGTGTTTGCTGGATCTAACGACTGAATTGTGCCTCATTTAT